GACTCTAAATGAACAGACCCCCCACATTTCCGTCCTTTGTTTCACAAATGATGAGCCCAACTGGTTTGTGACCCAAACATTTCCTGTTCAGCTGACTGTCGGAGACTCCCCCCAGTTGTGCCGATACCCGAACTGCTAAACACCTCACCTTTGATTTGTCTAAAGGAGCTCTGGTGGCATAGTGCCTAAGGCATCTGACTGCAAACCAGAAGGTTGGCAGTTCAAACCCACCAGCTACTCCCCGGAAAGATGATTAAGCAGTAGATTACGGCAATCTACTTCCGTAAAGATTTACCGCCTCAGAAACCCCATAGGGGTCGCTATGAGTCGGAATCAACTCACTGGCAGCGAGGTTTTTTGTTGTTATGATTTGTCTAAGGAGCTCTGGTGAAACTGTGGCTGAAGCATTTTGGCTGCTGACCCAAAAGTCAGCGGTTTGAACCCACCAGCTGCTTCGAGGGAGATAGATGACAGTCAGCTTCCGTAAAGATTGACATCCTGGGGAACATGGGACGGTTCTACTCTGTCCTATAGGGTCACTTGGAGCCAGAAGGAACTTGATGTTAGCGAGCACATAATTTGTCTGTGGTTAGCTGCCACCAAACCAGCTCCGACTCCCAGAATCCAACTGTTAAATGATCCCTAGGGTTTCCACGGGCAGATTTTTGGGAAACAGCACCCCAGGCCTCTCTTCCTAGTCTCTGTTCATGCGGATGTCCTGCTGACACCCGCCCTGTATCATAGCAACACGCAAGCCTCTACTGACGATGGTTGGTGGCTGCGTGTGAAGTGCACTGACTGGGAATCGAACCCACACCTCTCTCATGAGAGGCGAGAATGCGACCACCAAGCCACCCATAACCCCCCGTGGCAAGACCAGTCTGACTCTCAGATGTGGGGTGCGCTCCCGATGGCCACATGCTGAGTACAATTTCCTTACTTGTTTGGTTATTTTTGCCTTTGACCACACATAGCAACTGAGAAAAAAATAAATAAGTAATAATAATAATGAAAACGTGACCCCAACCTGAAGAGAAAGGGCTGGTGAGCTGGACCACTCCGGCTAGGCCACGTGGCCCAGCAGGTAGCCTTTTTAACACAAGTGACTCTGGAAACCAAGTCTGGGTAAGGCGGTGGGCACAGAGGGAAACTGAGGCTAGACGCACAGGGGCCAGGGCCAGGGCATCTCCCCACTCCCCGAGCCCGCGCGCTCACCCTCTGCTCCGGGTCAGGCTGGTGTCGGACCGGGCTCAGCGTCCTCCCCAAAGTAAAGAGCCTGGGCGAGGGGGCGGGAGGGAGGGCGCGGCCCGCCTCCTGGTGTCTGCGCATGCGCTCCAGCTGCTCCTGGGCGCTCATCCGGGGCCGGGGCAGGGGCGCCTGGGGAGACGAAAAGAGACGTCAGCCTTGCGCTACCAATTTCTTCTCTTCTTTTGAACCCCCCGGGACCTCCCGTCTTGTTCCTACAGGACCCCGGAGGGACCTGCCTACACCCAAAGTGACTGCTGTCGCTCCTCTGCTCACAGCCCTTCCGGGGCCTTGGACACTAAGGACGAAAGGGTTTCGGGCCCCTGAGGGCCCTAAGTAACCCGAAGCCCCAGCCTGACAAACACACTTCCCTGGGCATAGCAAACTTCCTCGCCCTCTAGCAACAGGGCTCTGGGTTGCCTGTGCTAGGGGAAAAAAAAAAAAAAAACGGCGATGGCATGCACTAACAAAATTTGTCACGAAGATAGGTTTTCAGCGAGGGGCCTTAGACATGACGTCATACACCCTCGTCCGCTCTCGGGGCCTTTCTGGCCTCAAAACCGAACAGAACTCGCTCGGGCTCAATCTCAGGGAGACAGCTGACGTCAGTCAGCCGCTTATTGCGTGACCTTGCGGCCAATCATTGCAGGCAGGAGGAGGCTTTGCTCTGATTGGGCCAATGTTGAGTCACGTGATCACCAGGCCTGGGACACTAACGGCTCCTGCAAGCGCGTGGTTGGAGTGAGGGTGGCACTATTCCCAAAATAGTTGCTCAGAGCCACCCCACCAATGCCTGGGCCCTTAAACGCACGGAGAATGAAAAAGTTCCCATGGGCCTAGGCTGGGATTGATTGTTTTGTATCCATGATAACAAGTAAAAAACAGAACAAAAACAAGTAGCCACCAGAAATCATTTTAAATCGGATTATT